CTCTCTCCCCCCCCCCACTCCCTCCTCTTTCTTTGTTCCTTTTTCTTTCTTTCCCTTTTCTCTTTCTTTTCTTCCTTCTCTTTTTCTCTTTCTTTTCTCTCTCTCTCTTTCCCTCTCTCAGGCTCACCCCATTGACTTGGTGCACTGCTCCGCTCGGACTTGCTTGGGCAGGTCCCTCCAGTGCAGCGGGTTCAATGGGGTGGACCTGTGGGACCTAGAACACAGCAGTGGCGATGCGTTTGAAAAATAAGAGCAAAGCCAGACTGCCTTTGCTCTACTTTCCCTACGTGCCTGCGGGGCCAGCGCCTCCTTTCTCCCACATTTCTCCTTCCCTTTCCTTCCTTTTCTCATTTCCTCACTTGCTTTTTTTTTTTTTCTATTTTACACCATGATAAAATAATAATAAAGAAATAATGAAGAAAAACCATTAGAAAAAGGACCCTTGTTATAGCAACGCTTCCTGTTCTACAGCTGAGATATGCAAATTTCTGAGGGAAAAAAAGTTCATCGCGACTCCATTTCTATGTCCTCATTTTTATATTGGCAATTTCCCCCCAAAATGCTACTTTGTATATTTTTTTCTGATGAAAGTATCATTTATTGTGCTTTGAAATGATGAGCAGATGTTGAAATTGTCCAAGGAAAGGAGCGGAAAATGGAGGAGAAACAGCCAAACTTTGTTCCGGGATCTTCATGAGGGGCTATTTTGCAAGGAAAAGTGGGATCCTGAGCCACAGAAAGGGGGAGATGCTTTCCCATTGGGGGCTGAGGGGGGATCGAAAGGGGCTCTTCGAGAGAGACGCAGGTTTCAAGGACGGAAAACGCTGTTTTCTCCTGTAAAGCCGAGAGATCCCTATGGAAATCCCCCTGTCAAGGGGAGAGGGCCCGGGGAGAGGATCTGGCTGGATTAGGGGGCATCCCTGCAGATCCTCTCTGTCTCTTCCTGCATGGACTGTCAGCTGAGGGTTTTCCTGGCTTCCCTTCGGATTGGGGGGAGTGTAGGACTCCCAAGTCCTGGCTGGCTGTGGGGCTGCGCCTCTCCCCTTGCCCTCCGCAGCACCTACTGGGGGCTCCCTCCTTCCAGACTGAGCTGGGAGGGAGCCCGAAGCTCTGGCTCCATTTTACCCGTCTGGAGTCTCAGCAGCTCCAGCCTGGGAGCCCTCTGGGCACTGTGGGAACTCAAAGGGCATCTAGTCCACCCCTCCAGGCGCACAAAGAAAGGGAGATTGATGAGAATCATGGGTGTGTGTGTGTGTGCAAAAGGAAGTCCCCTCGAGCTGGCATGAAAGACTCCCCTAGAATGCAGCCCCCCAAGATTGAAAAGATCCTCCTCCCACTTTCTCTGCTTCTCTCTCTGCTCAGAACTCTCTCCTCCATCGGGTGAAGTCAAAGGAGACTGCCTGGAGACGGATGACACTGGAGCAGGGAGAATTCCCATTGGTGCTTCAGCTCATTCTGGCCCCTCCCAGCTCAAAACTCCAAGAAAAACATTTCCTCCCCCTCGACACACATTCCTCCTCTGACACACACACACACACACACACACACACGTTCATTTCATGGGTAGATTCTGCTGTGGGAAGAGTTGCTGCACTGGACAACAAGGGGGGAGACAGAGGTAGCCATCTGCGTGCCACCTGTCCCCCCCCCCGAGGCTGCCGGACAGAGTGCCAGCACCCCCCCGCCGGCCCCCTTTTCTCTTAGCGCCCCCCTAAGGCATCCCACCGCCCCCCAGGGGGAGGTACCGCCCACTTTGGGAACCACTGCTTTAGAGGTTGATGACTTTGACAATGAAATTTAGTCTGGAACTGATGGAACATGCAAGAAAGATATATTCTTGTGCTTGGAGACAAGACTGTCAAAACTGGAAACAAAAGGAAACAGGATGACCTGGATACTGAAGAATGATGTCCCGTTATGAAACACTCTTAAATGCTCTTACTGCTAGGTTCCATCACCTTTCTTAAATATACTTGTTTGGCCATCATCAGCAGTCTTGTATAAGTCTAGTCCTAGAGAATACAGTAAGTCCTAAATATCTTATGTGTGGGACTGGACGATCAATATGAAAATTGTACTTACCTAATTGATATGTGTTCTCCAACTGAATAGCTGGACGCAGACTATCCTCATGGTGGCCATGTTCATCCATGTATGACACAGTACTTACAGAGCTAAACATAATAACCAACAATAACTGCATTCGTTGCTATATTAATAAAAATTGAACAAACTGTGAAGTATCATCAAGGAATGTAGGAACTATCAGAATAGGGATTCTTGGTATGTTAAGCCCCATTTATTTTTTACTGTGCAGTTTTTGGGAAGACAATATTAAGTATAGCCTTGATATAGAATTACCCCATACCTGGGGAAGGACAAGTCCACAAATCTTAAAGTTGCTGAGGTTGAGGAATACTGCTCTACAACTCTGTTATTTGCATGACAACCTTTTAGTTATTTGATAACTGCCATTTTGACTCCCATCCATACTGTCTATTCTTTCCAATCTCATCCTGCAACTAGAACAGCATTTCTGTACAAGCCCCACTATGGCAGAACAACATGCTATGAAGTCAATATAGAATCTTTATTCAATAATGCTCCCAGGACAGTCCAGCTTCTAAAATATAGCGAAATATTGTAGGAATTTTCAACTATCACCGGGTACCTCCACAGCTAAATATAAAACAATTTTAACCTCATGGTGCCCAAAGAAAATAACCCAACAGAACTTTCAAAGAATTAACAAGATGAAAAATAAGAAAATATAATGCTGCTACTTACTCTTTGTATCTACCAAAGAAATCCTTTGCTCTGATTTCATGGCTCCCCAAAGAAGATACGCTGCCTCTGTTCTTGGCCAAGTGGGTGGCTTTATCCTTCATGATCTCTGACATATTTACTAGACAGGAATTACATTTTAAACCTAATATTTAGCTGAAAAGATATTGGCAGCTGATAAAGAAATGAATGCCCGTTTTACAAAATCAAGTAACTGAAGAAGCGGTATAAATATATATTTTTTCCTTTGTAACCTGCAAAGTGGAATTGAGAACCACCTATGATCAACAGAAATAGATTCACAGCACCATTACAAACAAGATTTTGTTACTCCCTAGTTTGCAATCGAAATGACAGGAAAGGGGCACTAACAAAAATCAAGAGTACTTCAGAGAAGGTTGTTATGGTAGTGACACCTTAAAATAGCAACTTTATTTTTGGAAAAACCCACAGATAGCTATCCTTCTATCGATCATACATTCAGTGTTTTCTAGGTTGTTTTTTTTTAATACTATAAGAAATCCATAAGTTGAACATTCAACTCATTCTCCACAAACTCTACTTCTCAGAAGACATTCCTATTGATGTTTTCCCCTTCTATTTTTGTCCATTCAGGCCAATAACTGTGAATACTTGGAGAAAACTGAAATCTTAACATACATACTAGTAAATTTAGTACCCAATGTCGATGGAGAGTCTCAATCATCCAGGTCACAGTTGTCCCAAAAGGCACCTGGACTTTTTTGGTTGTTTCCCCATCCTTTGGAAATGTTTTGTTTCTCATCCAAGAAGCTTCTTCAGGTCTTGGATGAGAAGTGAAAAGTCTTCAAAGAAAAAACAAAACCAACCACCCAAGATAGTCCAGATGCCTTTTGGCGGGAAAAAAAAGCACTTTGGGGACTTTAATGCCTAAGTGAAATAAAATCAGTGATCTGTGTAATTATTTCAAGTGCAATATTCTGCTTTGAATGAAGCACCCCACTATGTCTGGGGTCCGCAGAAACTCTTTCCCCCAGGTATCGCAAAGGTGCTTTTTCAGGAGGCAACTGGGCTTTCTTGTTTTTTTCTTTTGAAGTCGTTTCGCTTCTCATCCAAGAAGCTTCTTCAGCTCTAACAGGATAGTGGGGAATGGTGTCAGAGCTGAAGAAGCTTCTTGGATGAGAAGCGAAATGTCTTCAAAAGAAAAAAACAAGAAAGTCCAGTTGCCTCCCGAAAAAGCACCCTTGGGACAACCATGACCTGGATGGTTGAGAATCTCTACAGACTTTCTCCCAGGGGAATCCGACTTCTACCGATCTCCTGGAGGAGATTAAGGGGCTTTCATTTGCCCTTGTGGGACGTTTTCAGGCCTCCAACTTGAGTCCGAACCCAACCCAGGACGGACAAAAACACTCTTTACCCCATTAACCCGATTCTGGGATTCCCGCAAAATGAGCCAACATGGCTCATCTACTCCGCTAGATACCGACCCCGCCGCCCTATCTCGGCTGCCAACATCCGTACGACCGCTAAGTGGCATCCAAGTGAGAAGCAACCTTTTACTCCATGATGCATTTTGCCAGCTATCCGGACGTTGGCACCCGAAGGACGGAAGCCGCGGTCCTTACCGCTTTCGCCTCAGCAGTCCTGGGAAGCCGGAGATGTTGCTGGTTTCCAGGGCGACAACTCGGGCCCTGGACGGCTGAGAGGAAAGGGCGGCCTCAGCCTTACCCCCGCCTCCAAGGGCGGCCGTGCAGGAGTGGAGCGAAGCGACTCGGGGCGGGAGAAAGACGGGCTGGCATTTGTGGCTTCGAGCTCCCGTGTGGAGGAGGAGGAGGCTGCCAGGCTAGGTGGGCGCAACGCGTGAAGAACGCGACTGGAAGACCGCTCCACCCTTCAAGCGGCAGAGCACCCAGCCAAAAAAGGAGATTAATGCAAAAGCTCTGCGCGCTCGTCGGCTCCTTTCCCGAGCGGTGTTGCTTTTGCAGCTGTGCCGAGTCCGCGCTTTGGTTTCGGCTCCCCCGTTTTCTCTCCCCGCTGCGGGGCTGCTCAGCCTTGGAATCCTGCGCGCTCGAGGGGTCTGGTCGGGCCTCAAAAACACCAGCGGGGGGAGGAAAGCGCATCTGCTTCTGCCTTCCTCCGGGCTTCTCCCAGCCGCGACCTCCAGAGGTCTATGACAATTAGCCACGGCCAACTCGCCGCAGGCAACTTAGCGCGGGAACGACACGCCGTGGGACAATTTGCTGTGGGACAAGAGTTACACGAATATAAAAAAATAAAGGGTGGAATAGAATCATTAAAGAAAAGATGCAAAGGGAAGGACAAAATAATTGTTTATTTATTTTGAATAATTGAATTGTTCAATGGTCCTGTGGCAATTTGTTTTGAGGCAAAAGACCTCCAGTATCTTGCAGTTCCCCCCTCTGAATTTTTAGGCCAGCAACCTTTTGCTCCTTCACGTGATTGGAGGGGACACTTTATTGACCCATGAGGCAACCTTGGCTTCCTAGGAATATGACTTACAGTGTTTGGCTGCAACCTTAAACATTGGATTGGTTTCCCACATAAAAGAAAACACAGGAGCTACAAAACCTGAGTCACTCCCACCCAGTCACATGACCCTCCTCCACGCCTACCCAGGTTTTGTGGCTCCCATTTTCTGTGGGAAATGAGTCTCCTTCCCTCCCTTCCTCTTTCTTTGTGTGTGTGTTTACCTTCTCAGGCCAGGTGACGAGTGACTGGGAGGGGAGGGTGAGGGGTGGGGCTAGCCAGTGGTGGGATCACCCAACAAGGAGCCACAGCAGAGGGCCCAAAGAGCTGCATGCAGCTCCAGAGCCGCAGGTTGCAGACACCCAGGCTAATATGTAAACTGGTCAAGTCAAGCTCTAGTTGATTTTATCCTGGTCATTTGTTGTTGTTCCTTCTTAGCCTTTTCCTGTGTGGAAACCACTTTTTTTTTTTTAGATCAACCAAGTGGTGATCTTTTGGTTGTGGCAGGAATTGACTGACTCTGGCTTATTGCCAGAGCCTGAGGTCATAAAAGGAGTGACTAACCCAAGTTCACCCAGTTCTCTCCTGTATGGACACAGAAATATAATGAAAGGCTTCAAACCAGGGAAAGCGCCCAGCTCAGGCTTTGTTATGTAATAAAGGAATAAAATTATTTGAAATGGTGGCCCCCAGTGTTAACAGCACTTTTCAGAGCAATAGATTGATATCAAAGGCCTAGAGTTTGGCCATTACAGTGCTGATAGAGAAGAATGGCAACAGAGATGATCCAGCCGACTGAAGGATATATATGCTAAACATCTGCAGGATATGTTAACTGGTTGGCTAGAATACGAAGATGTTCATTAACTGGTTGGCTAGAATAGTTCTGGATAGTTCTGGAAGAGTGTTAACATGTCACCTCTAGTCTTTCTCTGGTCTAACAGAGAGAAAGACTGGAGATATGATAACAGTTTTCTAATATTGAAGGGGCTGTCACAAAAAGTGGGGGTCTACTCTTCTCCAAAGCACCTGAAGGCAGGACTAGAAGTAATGGGTGGAAAGTTATCAAGGAGAGGACTAATTTAGAACTAAGGATAATTTTTCTGACAGAACAATCAATCAGCGGAATGGCTTGTCTTCAGAAGTTGTGGATGTTCAACAATGGAGGTTTTACAGTAGAGATTGGACAGTCATTTGTCTGAAATGGTATAGGATCTCCTGCTTTAGTAGGGGTGGACTAGAAGACCTCCAAGATCCCTTTCAACTCAGTAATACTGTTAACTTGTCAGAGATGAACAGGTTGGGTTTAGAGCAGGCCAAACAATGTTATACCATGCTATGGTTCTGCAACATGTCATAGAAAAGTATATCCACAAATCTGGACAATGTCTTTATACAAAAATTATTCATTTATTGACTTTAGATCAGCTTCTCATATAGTATCACAGCCCTAAATTGTGGGGTATATTTAAATACATTGTAATGCTTCTGCTGCTCATAATAATTCATGAGAATACAAAATTGAAGATCAGGTGCAATAACCAAGGACATGTCACCACAGAAATACTAGTAAGGCGGGGAATCGGACAGGGATGTCTTTGGCTCCAGTTTTATATAATTATTATATTAACTCATTAATCCTATACTTTTCATTCTTCCAAATTAGCTTATAGACAGATTCATTTGTTACTGCATGCTGATGACATAATAATGCTTTAATTGACTTCCATTGGCATTAAAAGAGCCTTGACATGACTTATACCAGGAGCATCCAATCTTGGACCTTTGGACTTCAACTCCCAGCTTGGCTGGGCCATTAAAGTCCACAAGTCAAAGTTGCCAAGATTGGACACCTCTGACTTACATATTATCATGTTGTGGGGAAAATAATACATTACTTCAAGATTAAGATGGTCACTTTCTCTAAATATCCAAAACAGAGAAGCTGGAACATAGGTGGCCAGTCCATTGAAAATGAAATTTTTCAATATTTAGGGACAGTTTTACAGACTTCCAGAAGCAGAAATACTCACAAGAGCTATGTGTCTTGTAATGTGTTGTGATCTGCTTCAGCTACTCAAACTTATTATTTTGCCACAGTTTATCCCTGCTGCAATTAAGTTGCTTGTAGCTAAACACAAGCACAATCAGAATCATACAAAAGCATGATTACCTTAAAAAGAATTAAACAAAATTTTTGAGAAGCATCTTTCAGGTTACCTGCTGCAGTACTTTGCATGCAGTACTTTGATGGGAAGCAATAAACTCGAATCTATTCTCTGGATAAATATATTTTCCTACTGGATAAAACTATATTACAATCCTGGTTGCCTGGCCCTATCTAACACTGGTCTAATATTGGCAGACAACTTCCAATCATCTTGGGAAACAGCTATCCAAAAAATAAATTTAAAAAATTAGCCTTTAGGGTTTTTCCAGGGATACGATCTTAATTTTAGGGCTAGTTCAATATTAAGGCAAAAGATTTTACGCTTGGGGGATCAGAAATTGCTGCTTTTGTCACATCATTTATTAAATAAGTGATATTGCTGTCCAATAGTGACTCTGGGTGGCATACAATGTTAACATTTATTGTACAGAGAATTAGATCGAATCCGGAGATAAAAGGATTAAAAATTAAGCAAGGAGAATACAAGGTTCAAGCCTTTGCAGATGATCTCGTATTGTTTGTAGAAGAACCAATAGAATCAGGACCAAATTTAATTAAAGAAATAGAGAAATTGGGGAAGTGGCCGGCCTAACAATTAATAAAGATAAAACTAAAATGATAACAAAAATCCTGATAGTCCAAAAAAGGAATTAGAGGGAGTAATGGGCTTACAAATTGTTAAAAAATCAAGTACCTGGGAATTTGGCTTACAGCAAGATGATCAACGATAAAATAGGATAACTATATAAAGTTAGTACAAGAAATAAAAAGAGACTTAGAAAAATGGGGGAAGATGCAGTTATCAATGTTAGGGAAAATTGCCACTATTAAAATGAATATCCTACCAAGATTATTATTTCTTTTTCAAACGATCCCTGTAAAATTGGATAAAATTTTTTATAGTGAATTAAACCAAATGACTACGAAATTTGTGTGGGCAGGAAAAAGAGCGAGGATAAAGTTGAGTGCATTACAAGATAATAAATGTAGAGGTGGATTTGGACTCCCTGCACAGGAACTATATTATAAAGCAGCAGCCTTAACGTGGGTTAAAGATAGGGTTAATTTGAACAACAGAGGAATATTAATCTTAGAAGGACATGATTTGCAGGCAGGGTGGAATGCCTTCATGTGGAACCCTGGAAACAAGACTTATACTTATTTTAATAGACATGCAATACAAAACTCATTATTGAGAATCTGGCGAGAAATTAAGCAGAAACATTACATTAACATTCCAGGGTAGGTATCTGTCATGGAGGTATTGATACACCCCAATGCACTAGAAATCGGAAGTAGGACTAAATATTATGATGTCTTAAATTCCAAAGGAATATTAAAAACTAACCATGAACTCAGGGACCAAGGGGTACAGATGGATTGGTGGCCATATTTACAACTCAAAACAAAGTATAAAAAAGATGTAGAGGAACACGGAATAGATATAAAGCCGAATCAATTAGATAAACTTTCAGAAGGAACAGATGAAAAAGCAATTTCAAAAATATACAACTAATTCTTAGAATTTGAATTGGCAGAAGAAATAGTCAAGGGCTCAATGATAGCATGGGCAAGGAACGTAGAACATAATATCAATTTGGAAGACTGGGAAAGAATTTGGAAGCAAAACTATAAATAAAATCAGCGGTTTATAAAGAGAACCAATATAAAATGTGCTATCAGTGGTATCTGGCATCTTTGAGATTGGCCAATATGTATCCAAATTTAAGCCCACTTTGTTGGAAATGTAAACAAACAAGGGTGGCTTTGTCCGAAGAGCAAAAAGTATTGGGAAAAAATACAAATATAGACAAGATAAATCACAAACATTCAATTAGATCCTAAGGCTGAATTTTTTTTTGTTGGGAATAACAAAAGATGAAATTGCAAAAAAAATCAAATATTTAATTTTACATATAATAACCGCAGCAAGGATAGCATTAGCTCAATGTTGGAAAGGAGATCAGATGCCAACAGATAATTTGATAATCCAGAAGATCTACGACTGCGCAAAAATGGATAAATTTACCCAAAAGTTAAAACATAAGAAAGACTCAAAATATTTTACAGTTTGGGAAAACTGGTATAATGGAATAAAGGATACAAATCTGTAAGTAAACAGATAGGCAAGAGAAAACATGAAGAGGTCATGATAGGAGTATATACCAGATATAGGAACTAAGTATTGGAAAACTGTTTGATAAAAACACATCGTCTAAGCAATTAGAAATGTTTATGTTTTTACGTTTATTGGTTATGTATAACTTTTTGTTTTCGTATTTTATGAAAT